GGAAGTTCCTATCATGAATCAAATCACAAAGATTATTTATCGGTTCTGACGCAGATACGTTGGTGAACAGCTATTATACATCCCGTGATATCATCCTTCGTCCCCCAACGTTAATATTTCTGATAGTTTCAACGAACTCAGTGGATTCTTTCAAGCCTCCCGTATACAGATGACCTTGCAGTGGCTTCAGTCAATCCCCTAACCATTTTGCAACGGCGTGATAGGGCGAATTCCTCATATCCAAGATTGAACGTAGGGACAGACTTTCTTTGTGGATTTAAGGAAGACTGTATATCCCTGGTGATGTCGCGCCCTCCGGCCTCAGTAGTTTATATTCTTTAGTATACAAATGGCCTTTTTTGCAGAGATCTTTGAGAATATTCGCCAATTGACCCTCGCCAGCCTCTGTGTGATCCTTACCTTTCTCTTATTTCGAAAACTTGGAACGATCAGAGAGTACTTCCTCTAGCTTAGCCGATTAATCCGTTCTATCCATCATTACTACTCCTGAACCATTATCTGGTCTGGCTAGCACAATGTCTTTATATTTGCGAAGTTCCCTAAGGTTATCGATGTGAGTCCTTGTCAAGGGACCCTTGTTTATCGGAGCCTTCCTTAGATACTGTTGGCAGCAGTTGACTAGACTCGACTTAAGCCAATCACCTTCGATATGATTGCTGGGTTTTAGATCTGTAGCCTGGCTAAAGAGACTCTCAAATTTGATTTATAGCTCTAATTGTTACGGCATCCGCCGTGCAATACAAAACGTAAGATCAAGAGCTAGTACGTCTACGAGAGCTTTACCAAGACGTACTGAGGAATAATTATTTACATACCGTTGTGGATTGTTCAGAAGGATGGTCTGAGCTTTTACTGACTGGACGTTTGTTAGGAGCTTAGTCTACCTGGCCTCCATTATTTTAATTCAGACAGCCTCTGCAGAGTCTTTAAATGTCAGTCTCTCGTGGTTTTAAAGTCGGTCAAGGGCCCCTGCTGTCTGCCACAAGTTCCGGTGAAGTTTTTTAATTCCGGCATTAACTGTCTCAAGGTGGCCTTCTGCATGTCGTTTTAGTGCATTTGAAGTTGCTGCGATATAATTTCTCCGCAAGGCCTTCCAGTAGTATTTGGCATATTTACCCCGTTCACACATCCTGATAAGAACTTGTTCGTCACATGTGCCTCCGCAAGTCTGGTATTAGCCTTGAGGAATTAATTGAGTTCCTTTAACCCCGGGGATCTTTGGATTGTCTAAGTTCCGCGAATATTATCATGTTCCGCTTTAAAAGTCAAGTTGACAAACACGTGTTTTCGGTAATTCTTCGTAAGACCAATACAGTTTCAGAAAATCTTTTATTAATATGTTTTATTAAATGCTATTTGACAGCAAATTACTCTCGGAGTAAGTTTTATGCAAAATTGCAAATCTCCGAAAATGTAGTGCAAGAAGGAATGATTAAACGCATTTATTAATATGTGAGTACATGTGTGAGTACAAGTCGAACAAAATAGCACGGCTCGACCTAGATATTAAAATGGACTTGTAACCATGCCTGTCATCGCAACAGTGGCACAAGTAGATAGACATAATACGAAGCATTGCTTGTTGAGTTGTCATTTGTATAATGCCTATTGGTGACTGTGGTGAGTGTTATATGTGCAATTTTCTAACTTCCAAACTCTACATGCTACGGGTCCTATTCTAAGATACCAGTATGGACGCCCGCATGGATCACGCGTTTTAGTGGGTGTCCGTTTCTCCGAAAACGTGGGTCGAGTACAGCCTTTGGGACTGGCATTTTGCGTTAGCAATACGCTCATCCGTCTACAATCTCGTTGAACGTTGCGGAAATTTGATAACGCATAGGAAATCTACACACCGTATGCCTGATTTCATCTCAGTGGTTAGAGGGGTTGAACTTCATGCTTTCGGTTCGTTGGATCACGCCCAAGGTTTTTCACGCACCGAGATTGTGCACGACTGGCTGTCGACGGCTGGTAAGCCAAACAGGGCCATTGTAGTCTCCCCTGTAATTGTCGTTAATCCTTTTAAGCCTATAAAGTGTCCTGCTGACTAGCTGCTCGTTGGGGTCGTTGGGTAGGTTGACGTTGTCTACAGGCCCGACTCAACAATCCGCCGGCAAGTGATGTGGCCAAAAGCTCCGATCCATAAACGGGAGATGTCGGCTGTTGTCTACCGACTTCAATGTAGCCGCGGAATGTGTAACTACGTTGGGGAAACCGGCCGACGGCTGCAAACGCGCATACACGAAAATAAGTTGACCATGCGAACGTTGGACCCAAAGTCAGAGGTAGCAACCCATGCCGCCCAAATGGAATACGTCTTCAACTTTTACGCCCTTGAAAATGTGGGCCGTGGTGATGATCATACGGCGGGGCAGGTGCAAGAAGCCTGGATGTTTACCGACTGTTCTGTCCACTGTCAGATCAATTTACCTCCCCCTTATCTGGTTTTACGTACATTCTTGACTGGGGACAGTCACGGCGCGCGAAAATCGGGGCCGTCACTTATCGCCGCGACCGACGAAGATGAGCGGAAATCAGGTCACGGTGACATGCGGGTCAGATGCAGCCACACAGGCGGCATTGGAGGGCCAGGCATCAAACAAAGTGCGCCATACAATGAAAGCTGTGTGCATGACTGCTCAGTCACTGAAGAAGGGTAGAAGAAATGACTACCCGAAACGTCAGACCTCAAATAGACCTCTCCCGGTGAACGCCTCCTCTTCTTTTGATTACGTGAATTATCAGATAAATAACAATTTTACAAAAATCAATATGCTTAGTGTTGGAAATGTACTTAATTTCAAGTCAAACACAACAGTCTTCCTCAATTATGAAATTTCACCGGTTCTGATCAAATAAGTGGCCTTTTGCTAACGTAGGCCCCCATAAAGTTTGCTCTCCTTCTGGATATTTTAACAAATGAAGGTCTCGAAATTCTGTGCATGAAATATGGCCTAAGCTTCATGTTAGGAGCATTTAGTCGGATTCCGGAGCACCACCTGCCGGTAAAATACGAGTCGCCTTGTGTCAAATACCGGGTAGACTAGGATCAGGGTCACGTTTGAGGCATATGTAGGGACATGAAATGTGCACCGTAGTTGGAGTTTGGCAAAACGTCACTTATAACATTGGAGGTGCCCGTTTCCTTGTCATACTAGATAAGGATTACAAAAGTTGGTTTTTGGCATGAGGCGACGTTGCATTATCTACGAGCCTGCAAGCAGTCATCGTCTGGCCATGCTCCCGTCGGGATGTTTCCCAGAAGTATTTAACGCTCTGAATAACAGGCAGTTTATTTTCCTTAGATAGACGTCTCACACGCAATGGCTGACGCAGTGTATGTATCGTTGACTGCACCCCTCCTCACCGTCGGTTAGTAGTAATCATGAACTTCAATGACGTCTTTCTATCCCCTGGTAAGTACTATTCTTCACCGAAGCATTTTTTCGGGCAAGGTAAGCCGTCCGTAATGTGCGTTGAGTGTTTACGTGAAGAAGCGCATATAGGCTCGTGTGAGAGATAGTTAAAGGGCCCAGCAGTTAGGTGTGCGTGTATTGAGTACGCTTACGCATGAACACCGGAGTCTTGTGGACGTGCTTACGTGAGTGCATACCCGAATGTGAACGATGCAGACAGTAGACGCTTTGGAAGACATTGTTGACGGTGGGTTTTGCAGTGAAGTGAATAGGTCTGACAACTCGACCTCCGTGACCTGACCTGACTTAGCAGCAGCAGCAGCAGCAGCAGAAAACAACAACAGCGACAGATTATGGTCATCGTGTCACAGTCGGGAGAGCATTGTTTCACGCGCACAAACGCTGATTACTATTAAGACGTTCACTTTAAGCCTAATCAACATCAAGACAGCTAACACTAACTACTTCAGCTGAGGGAGTGCTGGAGGGGGGTCCTTTTAATTGGCATTGAAGAACGACGTCGGACTGCCAGCTGGCGGACATGCCTTTCGGCAGTTCTCAGAACATTTTATGCGCAATCAATAACAGCTCCATGTGGGATAGGACAAGTTGCTGTCAGCACATACTGCAATTGGCGGCCTTTGATCTCTAGTTATCATGACGTTGCAAGCTTTGCGGACCGAAGAGTTGTATTGAATTTACATCAGTAATTTTCCCTGAAATGAAAAAGTAGCAATGCACTTTGTTGGTGATCTCTCACTTCCTTTGATGTGAGTCGTAGCTCTCTGGAACACGGCAATTAGAGTTTCTGACCAAAATTGGACGCGAAATGTAATACATCAGAAGCATTTTGTTTTAAGATAATCAACTTAGGACTTGCAACTTTCCACAACATTCCACTGTTTTCGGTATTACCTCAGGAAATGCTTCTATTTCCTCAATTCCTTTTAAGTTCCTAATTGCCGGAGGACTATCCCAATAGGCTACTGTCCATCCTGGAGCATGTTGTTCTGTCACGTTTACTTGTCACGTTCGTAAATTAAAAATAATAGTACATATAATTTTTTTTGCAACCTACTATTGATGGGCGAAGACATTGTTTTGTGAACTTTAATCGATATGCCTTCTTCTTTCTATTTATAACCAAATCCTACAGCGGCGCTTTTTACGGATGAAATGGGAACAAATCCAAGTACCGCGGTTGTCATTATCAACCGATAACTTTACCCTATAAAATTAAACAAATCCACATCTACGATACAAAAATATGTGTTGTCTTTAAGCACTAAGCGTGCTTTTTGGAATCATTCTAAAAAACTTATGTAATTCGCAAAGACCTGATATATATTTATACGTATATATATATATATATATATATATATATATATATATATTGCTGATAGAAGCGAAGATGCGCGTCCCCGGACATAAATAAGAAGAAGAGGCGATCTCGGGAACCATTGTTATATTGCCCTGACGTTTCAAAATCAAACAAGAGTTCATCGTCGGAGGTGAGTTTAGTACCACGCCTCACAGTATTTATAGGCGGTGACGATCTTGTTACAACGGGTTTGCGTCTATTCGGGGGCTGTCGTTTGGACGCTTAGCTGTCATCGCACGTGTTTGCATTGACCTTAGCTCTCGTCCTAGGCTGGCAATCTTCTTTGTCACCCTGCCGTCACTTGTGTTCTCACCTGCCGCATGAGTGGCAGTGATGATAGCACCTTCATCGGGTCCGTTGGCGTTACTGCGATCGTTCGTCCTCACACCTGCCAGATAAGTGGACGACGCGGCTGTAGTGACGATCGCACCTTCGTCAGATTCGGGTTGAAGTACCGCTGCGCGTGTGGCCCCCATGGACTCGGCCGTACTTGGGTTTCTGTCTTGTCGCAGCCTGACTCTGCTCTTCTGTTCACTAAGCTGAGTCCGGAGGGCCTGGTAAGCCTCAGGAAGCGCTACGCTGCGGTTGATGGAGTTCGCGCCAGTGTGCCAGGCCTCGATCGTTTCCCTCGTGATGCGGTCGTTTCCCCGGCCCAGGATTTCAGCATTCTGGAAGACGAACGTGTGTCCAGAGTTTGCGCAGTGCTCTGCCACTAGAGACAACGGGTCCATCCGCCTAACTGCCCTCATGTGCTCTGCAACACGGGTGTGCAGTCGTTTGCCGGTCTCTCCAATATAGTTCATATCACAGGAACTGCACTGGATCCGATAAATGACGTTCGTTGTTTCGCCGCGTGGCAGGGGGGTCTTAGGTCTCATGACCAGATTTCGAATTGTTGACTCTGGCCGATGGGCAATGCCAATCCCCAGTGGTCTTAGCAGACGGAAGCGCCCGCCAGATTTTTGGCCGTTCTGTCACCGAACTTCGGCTTGGACCAGGCTGACTGTTGCGTTCTATAGATATATATATTTCAAAGAAGAATGAGTCCTTTGGGAAAATGAACAAACTTTATTTCGTAAATTTTCGAGTCTGGTTCCCCAGCTCGTCTTCAGACGTGTAGTAAGTGTGAAGAGACAGTCAAAATTTAAACAATGCCGAAAAAAATCGATATTGCTCTGTCATGACTGAGGATAGGCTAATGCTGTGGGCTGATGTCACGTCGTGATTG